ATATATGTATCAAAGAGTGAATAAAATGTATAGTATACATATACACACTATAGTGATGTTTCGTTTAATGTTTAAATTTGTATAACCTGTATAATAATAGTATCTAAAAATACTACACAGGTATTTAACTTTTTCGATATTACATTGTCTAGATTTGTTCAAAACTTATTTATAAACAACTGGTTAAACGATCTTGAATTATAATTCTGAATAATGTTATAAAAAATATGAAAATAAGTTAAAAAAAAAAAAAACAACCACTGGGATAAAATTTAATAAAGCAGAAAGATAATTCAAGGACAAACAAGTGATCGAGAAAATGTCATAAAAATAAAAATGATTAAAGTATCGCATATAGATCGGCAGTTAAAAAAAGTGTACAAATTATGACCCGTGAACCACTGATCTTTGAAAAATAATATTTTTCCTACATACACAAAAGGTTATCATTTTTAAGAATAATAAGAATAAAGTTGAAAAATATAACCAAATATACTTAACAATAATGTATTAATAATTATTAATATATTAGTTAAATAACTTATTAATAATAAAATAATTAACCGTAATATGGTTAAAATACTTAATAACACTTTGCAGTGGCGTAAACAATGACAGGGAGGAGCTAGGGAGGTATAGCCCACCCCTTATGGGTCGTGTTTATGTATATGTACTACACTAGTTTATTACTATTTGATATTTAAGTATTTTAAAATGTTGGTACTCACAAAATTTTGACATATAACCGGTATTTGGTCTTTGATACCTATATAAGCGTATTACTCCTATCTTTTTGCGGTTATCATGAAAATGTTGGTAACTTTTGTCTAACTCTAACATTTTATAATCATTATAGTTTTTATATAATTTTATGTTGCCGCGATGCTACTGCAGATGACCACCGTTAATTTATTATTGTTATAAATTATATTTTAATAAATGTTATTAAAACTATTTTAAAATTCTGGAAATATATAAAGTTGGGTGGGAATGAAGTTGAACTCTCAAATCTTCTCTTACCTCGAAATATAATTTATTTTTTATATCTTATCTTATCTAACCCGTCTAAAAGAGTGTTAAACCACTCCCATTTAAAAATCGTGGCTACGCTACACACGTTTCGTATCTATTAACGATCCAAAGAGTACCTAATAAATGCTATAAATATAGTCTTATAAAATAAAACATGAAATATGGAGTGAAAATTCCCGTGTAAAAATTAAATTCTATATTTGATCTTAGACAAGTTCATGACTAAGAAATTTAAAATAATCTATTATATTACGTATGTTGCGTCTATAATTAGGTATTACGTTCCTTTATCGTATTATATCATTACTATTCAATGAGTAAAAATATAAGATAATCGATGACGTCGACATGGCAATATTATAATAACCATGTCAAAAACACCTTTCAAGTAAATAATTATTCATTAGTCGTACGTTGAGTATAATTTGATTTACTGATGAGTCGTGTTTATTTATAATGGTGATATACACACGAAATAATTTCTTCGTAAAATTGGACTTATTCCCACTAATGCAAGTGTCGAGTAGTGGTATATTTATGGAGAAACACAGGGGTTAGATTCCTCGTCGTATTTTTTGGCAAATATACCTGCTGATGAAGGGTTTAATTGATTATGTTTAGAAAAAACAGAAGATTCAAGTAATATTTAGTACTGCTTATTACATTCAGTACCAAGTGTAAATAAAATAGAAGTATTATTCAATTTTTCAACAGATACTTCTATTCATATATTTTTAAAAACATTTTTGCTATTAACATTATATTTCTCTTACTACCCATAATTTGTATCGTAATCATTTTTTAAGTTTTAGTTTTTTCAAATTATAACATTAATAATATGTTTATTTTTTATTTTACAAAACCAAATATATTTCTCGAAATATCGGTGTATATAATCAAATATTAAACCTGTAGTCGAATATATGTGTGCATTTGAAATTTAGATGAGTAGGTATAGATTGCACTAGAGTAACAAACTGGAGTAACAAAGTACGTTTAGTACTTAAAGTATATTTAAACTTTGAATAACTTAATGGTCTGTCAACTACGAGGCTTTTTTAGCTCTTCTTTCTCATCTTGAAATCTTGAAATTACATTGAATTATTTTCATAAATACCTAAAACTCTTATCATCCGCCTGGTACAAAAACTATAGGGTAGGGTATATTTAAACATTATTCATTAATGAATTCAAATATTCAATCATTGCATTTTTGCATTTAGATTTAAGTTCAATCTCACGCAAATAACCCTTTGCATCGACACTAAACGTCCATGAGTCGCTACCTAGATTTGATATACCGATGATCTATACAAAACGCTTTAATCTATAGATAATGCAAACTCTGACTTTTTAACATCTAAATACATTCACTAGAATATTTCCTCCCTCATTAACTCTGACTAATATTTATAATTGACAATAGTAAATATTTATTCACCTATTGTATTTTATATAAATAATAATCAAGCAAATGTTTATATGTATATAGAAAAGTTAACCACGAGACGTGTTTTTGATTTTTCAATTTGCAAAATATACATTGTATCTTAAAAAAAAAAAACATGCTGCTTTAAAATATAAAATTAAAAATAATAATTTTTTTCAGTTAATAAAATATAAATAAATTTATGATCAAAGATAATTAAAATGTAATTGTCTCACATTAATATTGTATGGTAATTTATTCAAAAACACATAAGTAAACCATGAAACCGAGTGTTAAATATTGAAATATACCTTGTATACTTTACATATACATAGATTGTATTATAATAATGCATAGTGACATATGTAATAATAACCGGATATAGATTTGGATTTTTATTGTAACCAGCCACGTGTTTGAATTTTTAAATTTGAAGTTAAACAATAAATACAATTGTCTTGTACGTGATAGAAAAATGTTTAGTGCGTATTGTAACATGTGTATTGTTTTAAACACATCACTGTTTTTTTCCGTAAGTATTACAATTATTCACTTTGGAAATTATCTTGATGTTTCTTGACTCAAAGGTTGTTAAATTAATAAAATTATTCCAACCGTTCGAATTAGTTTCCGAAGAAACTATTGTTCATCGAATTCTAATATTCTTTGCCATAACAGTGGTATACGCTGTGAAACACCATTTATATTAATCATTGTTATATATACTTTAATAATATGTACCAGGGGTCTTCAATCTTCTTTTACGGCGGGCCAAATCTGAAATACGCTTTAGCATCGCTGGCCAAAATTGTTTTAAGAAATAAAGAGATAATGAAATTGAATAATATATATATATTCTTTAATTTAATTATTTAATTTAAATTTTATCTACTCCTATATAGGAATCGATAAGATTTATTTAGATTTTAGGAAAACATATATTTATTTTTTAGTTTTATAATTCAGAATTTGTGTTATTGAGATACTAGTAAGTTATTTAATGAAAAGTTTCAAATTGTTCGTGTCTTAAAATGTCTTGATTGTTTACATCAAACTTTGTTGTTCTAAATAACATCATCGTTTGTAAATTTTCGTCGTTTAAGTTAGGTCTACACTTAGATTCGACGTATTTAATTTTTCGAAAACGTCTTTTTACATAAGTGTACCTAAATGTTGAAATAATTTCACGGGCACATTTTAATCAAATTTAGAATAATAATGACAAAATATCAGTAAACTTAGTGGGATGGTTTGAAAAGCTTGACGGGCCGAAATCGGCCCGCCGGCCGTAGGTTGGAGACCCCTGATATATACGATGTGGACGCCATGTTCTACAGAGTTGCATAATTTTCTATTTTCGGCGATTCGTTTATCCTTGATATAATATTTAAAAATAAATAATATTATTATATATATGTTATTTCGTTAATAAAAAACCGATGATCATCTCTATTCAAAAATTTGTATTAATATTACGTAGACATGTAATAATTCTATATTTTATGTCGAACGAACCCGACTGTTATCTTATAGACAAGCGTTTCTCAATCCCACGATCCCAGAATAGGTAAAAATAAAATGAGTCACCTCGAAATCCCCCTTCCGATAATAAAAACTACTTTATCTAATACTTTAGCTTTTATCTATTTCACCTGTGACGAATAATATCATTAACCATTAAAGAAACAAATTTCTGACAGATGTGAGCCCTCATCTATTGGTCAATGCCCTCCAAGTTGAAAAACGCTGTTATAGATGACTGCAAAAAATACATGAGATGACATTTTAGTTCAATAATAACTTCTTAGTAGAGCATTTGTAATGTCCTAAAATAAGTACGCAAAGAAACCGAGCGGATTTGACTAAAGCCAAATAAATATTAAACTAGTGTAGACCCGTGTAGAATAAGCTAGTGATATATTTCACCCTCTTATAAAATTTAGTTGTCATTATTTGTGTGTTACACGTTATACACCTGCTGCAGGCGTACACGTACCGCATGAGCGTGTCGTGTTAGGGATGATCGTTGCGCGTGACGACTCGCAGTAGCGTGCCCAGAAATTTTAGATGGGGGGGGATGTTATCAAAATATAAATTTAGAAGAAAAAGGACTGTACATTATTAAATTACAATGTTGAAACATTAAAACATGTTATCTATATCGTGTTAATTTGTGTATAAGATAAACAGTTTTATTTATACATCAAATTATTGTCTATACATTTTAAATACTAACCATAATCATAATAAGTACCGAAATTTATGAAAAAAAACAAGCTTTTGTTCAGATAACTCAATTATAATGATAAAAATTAAAAACTACAATATGTCATTATAGGTATTTTAAATTTATTCAAGTTAGTTACCATATAATTTTGAGTGGCGGCTGATCCCATGGGAGGGATATATCCCTCATCCTCCCCCTTGGCACGCCCCTGACGACCCGACTTTGAGCAGTACCCATGTGTTTAGCAATTATTATACGTTAATGATTATATTGCGCAATATGATAAGCAGTTTGATTTGTTTTTCCTTTCAGAATACCGAGATCGGTTCAGTTCTCGCGACTGTTGGAAAGAGACCAAGAAAAACACGTCAAAGGATTAAAAAAAAATTCGAGTAAGCCAAACGAAATATCCGATTGTAATAACAATAAAATGATTATTCCACCGCCGACATTACCGCTGCCGGTGTTAATCCTATTTCTACTACGACTAACCACCGTGTCCACAAATATAGGAAGTGCCCACAGTTATGACGTGTTTTTGGGCGGATCGTGCAATCCTACCACGTGGCGCAAAGACCTGGCCGTACCGTACCTGCAAGAGGCCGGGTTATCGTTTTACAATCCAGTGCGTATATTTTTCGATATACCGTAATATGCTTATTAATATACATTATTCGTACTGTTGCCACGTTATTGGTTGGCCGTTTTCTATTATTTTGGATTACAACATATCCCACGTACTTTATTTTTATATTTTTATTATTTTTTTTTTTTTTTTTTGACAAAAGTTAATAAAAATTCCCATTAGTTCTACTATTTATGTTTTACTATTATTTACTATTATTTCAATATCTATTGAACGGTTATTATCGATTACATACTATTAGAATTGCAGAAAAAATACAAAGTTTGTTTTTTGAATGGCTCTATTTAAATAAATTTCAGCTGTTAATATTTGTTAGTGTAATCTCATCGCTGTTAGTGCTCCGTTGGACTCAAAATCTTATAGAATACGACTGGATAGGCTAATGGAAATGCTGAAAACTTTTCTATTCACGAGGAAGGCCTATGGTTAGTTCAATGTTAATTAATATTATTCATTAATCACTTCTAAGGTTAGGCGTTTGTTTATATTTATTTATAACTCGCACGAACTTGTTCTATTCTAAATATGGCGTCACGTTATTTTAACGTGTATATAGGGACCCGCATGACTATATCCGAAAGTTTTTAGGACTACTCCATCAAGGTCTGACCTTGGCTCCCCGTTTTAAATCCTGTACAATAGAACCATCATCCAAGGTTATGATTTCACCTGAGTTTGCTTTGTTTACAAATAACGAGAGACTAAATCCGTGAATATTTTATAGATTATCTATTGTTACTCGTACTAAATCGTTGTTTTCGATCAATGCATTTATTATTTTTGTTATCATAGTTATATCCATTTACACGAACTTGTAAAATTAAACAAGAATGTTTAGATTTTATTCGATGTAAAATCAACGGAAAAAGTTTTATTAAAATTTTTCTTTTTCGAAAATGTAATATTGAATAATGTATACAACAGTATTACGAAATTATACTGACAAAATCTTAAAAAATCAAAAAACATTTTGAAAATATATAAATACAATATATGACAAAAATAATGTTTTATTTATTCTGAATTACTTGTACTACAAAATAATTGATGTTTACTTCGAATCTTCGGCCCACTGCTTATGGCCGTTTGGAGATGTAATAAATGAGCAAATTTTAATAATACATAAAAATATGTATGTAAATAATTGTTATCAAAATGCATATTTACATGGTTTTGTTATTTTGTGACAGCAAGTGGACCATTGGAGTCAAGATCTAATTGAAATCGAGCACGCGGCCAAGGAGAGCGCGACTATTTTGTTCTATGTGATCGACAGTCAGACCAGAAATGTGGTCAGCGACATAGAAACGGCCAACTTCGCTGGTCACAACAATAACCTGGTGCTGGTCATCCATCCGCAGGACGCGGTCACCGGATCAATAGTAGCCGGTGAACAGATAACTTCCAAAGAGGCAGAAGACATACGAGAAGCCCTGACGGTATTGCACGAAATTGCTTCCGGTCAAGGGATATTGGTATTCGACAACATATCGCTGGCCTTGAGTAGAGTAGTCCAGGTAGGCAAAACGTTGTAGTTCACTTAGGGCCGGTTTCACCATTAAAGAGTTAAAGTTGAGATTAATTAACTCTGAGTTTATCAGTAACCCCAAGTTATCATTATTTCAGTTTCACCATCAGTTTATAAGTGGAAGTTAGTAAATCTCAGGTTAGATAATTAATTGCTGGTATTAACCAGGATTCCCTCTCATTTTCCACTGATAGCATTGATAACACCGCTCATTGAATTGATAACGCTGAAAACGTTAACCCTTTCAGATCCAAATTAATTTCTTATAGAGATAAAAACATTTTTATTGCTTATTTATTTTACTATAGACTATAATAAGAGTAAAATGTTTTAAAAAAAATTGATTTTTAGATTTTGACGAATTTAAGAGTATGTCCTCTATAGGGGACATTGGGTCTGAATGGTTACAAAAAAATTCAAATTAAAATTATCATATTAAATTTTAAAATATTTCAATAAGTATAATAGCAATATAATGTAATGAAAAATTATTATTTTTATTATTTAAATTATTATTCGCGGTCTTCGTTGCATCGCAATAATGATGTCGTCGTTATCGCTCTCACTCTCGTCATCAAATAATATTCTACGATACATTATAATAGTATCTTCACAAGCAGAAAAATTGTATGCAAAAACGAAATATTCAAATACGACACACAATAATCATTCTTGAAAGCAAAAAATATGTTAACAGTGATAACACGTTTTAATATTGTTGTTTGAACTAAGAGTTATCTCTTAACACTCGAAAATATTAGGAGTTAAAATCTGGGAGTTAAGATTTTCGATAACTTGATGTTACCCCTTAACTCTAAGTCGTGAATTTATTTTTTTGAGTTAACCTTGAGTTATTGGTAAGTTGCACTTTAACTCTTATTGGTGAAACCGGCCCTTACAGTCGTATGTTTATTAGCTTGCGAAAATCCCGGACTTAAGATTCTGAACAAAGTTAAAAATGTATAGTTTTTATAAAATCTCTTACTCTCATAGTCATGAACATAATATTTTGTTCATGTGGTCTCACATTACACCTACAAGATCATGAATCGGTCGTACATCTAAACGTGGTAATTTTTCGATTTTATTTGTAGGAAACTGAAACTAGAACATTTTTTTGTGGTAATTACGTTGGTAAATATTATTTAAATATTATATTATTTTATGGATAGGATATTTAATTCAATGTTTACTCGTAGCTTATTTTGCCCAGTACAAACAGTACCTACTATAAATGGGAGATTTCAGATTTGACTGTCATATTTGTTTTATTAGTACAGTTTTTAAATAAGACTGTTTATTAATTATTTTTACAATTAATGATAACTTAGCAAAAAAAAATGTTTATATATATTTTAAAATCATATTTTCGGGCCCCAAAATTCTATTGTTGAAAGTTCGATGTTATATGTTTCAACCAATCTTCATCTTTCATTTTTCAATTTAATCATAATTTCATCGTTCAAATAGTTTTTCAAATGTGATAGTTTGTGATCACTTTTTAGTGTAACAATACAAACAAACAACTATTTAGCGTAAAAAAAAAAATACTAACAATATCTTAACGCATTGTTTTTTTTTCTTTATTTTTTCTCCGTTTAGATATTGAAGGACAAGACCCATCATATCCACGGTACTGGCGAAGACAACACTACATATTGGTAAAAAAAGCTGAAAACCCACGACTTATAAAATATATGTGTATGTATAGACGACTAATATTGTAAAACACATTTATCTCTCGTTTCAGCAAGATACGCGATGCCTTCAACATGTTCGATACCAAAGTTTCCGGCATAATAAACATTTTCGATGTATGTGGGAGTATGTATATAGGACTCGAATGATCACGATTGATAAATTATTATTATTAATATTCTTATTATTACTACATAGAATGTGCTTGATTACTAACAGTTAAGTTTTTTTATTATTTTTCTCCTCCCCCAGGCAAGAATGGCCATTCGGTTGTTGACTAATCAGAATCTGTCCGAAAACGAAGTGCTGAACCTGATATCCGAACAAGAAGATTACAAAGGTAACTGAACGCGTTGTTGTGCTCGGATGATTGAAAGCGATTTATTACCCCGCGCCAAAAACTCTTGTTTTCGACCCACCGTGCATACGTATATTATATTTTTATCAGTATTAATTAGTTAATATGCATGAAAAGGGGACTAGGTAAATTGGGTCCGCGATAATTTGTGTACATTTTAAAAACGGTAAATTGAGTCCCGAGGGAAAAAATTAGGTAGTAGGTAAGTTGGGTTCCGACTGTTAACCCACTTACTTACCATTGTATATTAAAATATTTGGTATGATATAACGTTGTTTTCTGTTTATGTGAAAAGAAAGGTTAAAAAGTCCTCTTAAGGCTAGAATTATTGTATACGCTTATCGATTGCCGACTCTAATCTGGTCTTATCGATGCAGAGACGCAAGTCAAATTACAAAGAACAAAACGAACGAGGTAATAGTATGCTCGATAAAGAAGAATATTTAAGTTTAAGTTTTTTCAAAACTGTCATATTGTGCACACTCATAACTTGTTTAGAATTAAAAATATCGTATAAACCTGACGTTCGAACACGGATAATGATGAACAACGCAGTGTTCGGTAAACGTATTAGTTTAGTTTTACGCGCGGCGAAAAAAAAAAAAGTTTTGGTCATTATTTTCGAAGCCATATTTCGAGTTGGCTCGCGGATGGTTTGACGTGATGGCATGGTTTTAAGTTCGTCTCGCCACTGACTTGTGCAGGTGTATGCCTTTCACTAATCTGGTTTACTTAGGGTACGGTTTTCAAGGCGCGGCTAGCCGCGGCGGTCGTCGCGATCAGCCGCCGAAGTCTGACTGGTTTCCTAGACATACAAATCGCCGCGGCTCTAAACATAATATCATTATTTGTTTAGTCGTACTTCGCATTTTGTTGTATATTTATATACGTATATAAGTGTTAAACCATGTCTGATTTAATGTGCGTTTTTAATAATAACAAAATGATCATTGATTTGCTTGAAGAAGAGGAGGAAGAAAATAATTTATTTTTACGTAATTATTTAAATCCAAATAAAAGGAAACCAACTAAGGTTTTATTTAATAATCGTGTGTCTGAAGGTTATTTTGAAATTTTGATAAATAGACATTTATTATTATTATGTGTTCGATATTATAATTATTATTCAATACTATAATAATTATTATAATTCAATACTAGAATATTTGTTAAATTATGGTAGTACATTATATATAGTATATACTACTATCAGCGACTGCAAAAGTTTTAACACTATTTTCGACTAGAGTCGTCGGTGGCTGTCGCGATACACTGCTCTTGTCGCGGTAGAGCCGCCGGCCGCGGCGGCTCTAGTTCAGTCGCGAGCCGCAGCCGCGCATTGGAAACTAGTCTATAGGCACTACGTGTAAACACTGTTCATACAAAAGCCGCGGCCAGCCGCGCCTCGGAAACCGTACCTTTAGGGTACGTAAACCTAACGAAATCCTCCCACGCGCAATCCCTTGTGACCGCTTCCAATCATCTCGATAGCTCTGGACGAATATTATACGAAGCCTTATCGATCGTTGATATTATTATTATTCAGCTGTCGGAAGTAACCACCAAGCGTGTTTCACGTTCGATCAATTTCATGCCATCGCTTCTAAATTTCTTCAGTTACCCGACAAACGCAATCGCAAGAATGGATTCGACATCGGTTAGTATGTAAATAATTAAAAAAACGTGCAATCAATACGAATACAATCGTTCGCGCAACTATATTGCACCACGTACTGATCTTAATTTTTTTCTGCATCTATTTTCTTCCAGGACGTACGTGCCGTCCGATTGTCGGTCGGTCGTTGAATTTGTCACAGGAATGCACCGAGGTGACTAGGTCTTCGAGAACCACGGATATCTATCTGGCGGGAGAGAGCGGCGATGACATTCGGTGGAAAGAGGACGTCGCCATTCCCATGATCAAGTGAATATTTTTACCAACATTCAAAGCTGGGAGTTACAAGCCGTTTTACTATTTTAGAGTTACATCGTTTTCGTTCGTTTAAGTTATTAACTTGATGAGTAATCATTTTACAAATCGTAAAAAGTGTTTTCGTCTTATTAAATTTTGTTACGTTAAATTTTGTCACGTTAAATTCAGTGCCATTGCTGGGCGGTTCTAAGGGGAGGGTTCAGGAGGCCAGCAGACCCACAGTTAATATTTGTTGAAGAAATTGGCCGTTTGAAACCAATTTTATCAAAAACCGACCTCTTGAAGACTTCTTATATTTTTTAAATGTATGAACCATAGTTTGAAGTTTATATTAGACTGGGGCAAATACCACAGTTGACACCCTCCGAATTACGCCACTGGTTAGTATTATTTCGTACAGTAAAATATCTGTATGTCCGACGCCATGTAAGATGGAATCCTCCATGAAATAAATGTTATTGTTTTCAATGACAATTATGAATAAAGTTAAAAACACATATTAATAATATGGTTTTTTTTTAATTCGTATAATACGATATAATAAAATCATATCGCTCACCTATATCAAAACAGTAACTACTCAAAAAATCGCTTTTTCCAGGATGTCGGTTTTGTTGGTGGTACCTTGGTATCATTCATTCAATAAAATGTACTTACATTGCCATCTGACGGAGAATATTAAAGATAAACCTGTTTTGTTGATTTATGTAATTTCGTTTGTAGAATCCAAATATACGTTTAACTAAGAAAACCAACTTTTTGAGTTGTTACTGTTTTCATATGGATATACGATATTGTGTTCATTGTTATAAGGTGTACATTTATAATACAATTTCAGCTCTAATTAGTTGCCTCTTGAAATAGCCTGACCCACAGTTCTCTAATAGTGGATCCACCCTTGAAGCATAGAAGAATGTTTTTGTTTTTCTTCAACATACCTTGGGCATATTCAACTTGGCAATACAGTGTGAATCACTGCGTTAAAAGCACAGTACTTAACGATTAATTTATCGCTATAAATAGATATTTCAACTTCCTTTTTTCTACGAGCAACCGATAGTTAAAATAGTAACTGATTTTGTGTGTTAACTAATAAATTAAAATTGTGTGATTTGCCCAACTTTGTAATATTAGTACATAAAAAAAAAAAAAAAAACATAAAAACATAATTTGTTCGTGTTAGTTGAATTAATGACATTGTTTATTCTTGTAGAAAATCTAATTTAACGTATCACGCAGCTACGAGAACAGACATTTCATTATTATTAGATGCGCGTACATTGTTATTCGTAATTCCAAACAATTCAAGATCATTGGCAACCATGACTCTAGTAAATATCTCTAGTATAACCGATCAGTAATTTTAATGTACTTCAATCGATAGTTTTGCTTTATAATGATTCTCATTTTTTTTTTCAGGCAGCATATTGCATAGCTAAAAGCTGCAGAATGGTGTTGTGCATACAGAATCTCAGTAAAGATAACTGCATGGTTCGTGGCGAAAAGGTATTTTTTGTGTGGAGAAGGTAATCATATAAAATCTTATTGATTTGATTTTTTTTTACTTTAGTTAACCCAAACTGCCATCAATGATTATAACCGCGGAAGGATGTATTTGGCAGATTTAGCGTCGCGAGAAAGAGTGCCTGTGTTCGAAACTACCATAGACGCGGTTGAAGCCGCCATAAAAAAAAGCTTATAGCATATATTTTTATTCTATAAATAATACCGTGTATAAAGTATAATGACCGTTTAATTATTTTTAATTACGCGAAAACTAACTGATATTTACGAGGAAAAGCGTTTTTATCTATAGAAACTATTTTTAAGTACCGATTTTTTCATTTCATTTATTTATTTTTTAACTAACAGCTAAAGAATTATTTTTAATTTTAATTATATTGATAGGATATTCTTTATGTTATAAGATATTTTAATAAATTTAAATATTAAAGATAATTAGTTTTATTGTTATATTCCAGTGTGTTATTATATATGCGTGTATGTTCAAAATGATCAAATACATTAGAAAATGTATCCATGATTTTTTCAAAGTAAATTTGAGATAAAATATACTTTGAATAGGTACTGAGTACTGAAAAAGTTTGGAATAGTACCCATATCTGGATCTACAATTTGCCAACATTATGGCTGTTTTTGCAAACTTCATATGCCTGCTAAACAAAATAATAAATAGCTTTTTATGCTTAAGTCTAAATTTTAAAATTATTTTTAAGTATATTTATACTATGTATAAAACATTTTGTAAATATATGTTAACTGTTTATTTTAATTGTAATTGTACAAATGACACTGGACTTTCGAGCAAGGCTCCTGTTAAAGTCTAAATGCTATTTTTAACCTTAACATTTTCGCTTACTGAAATTAAAAATGTTTGTGAATGATTCTTATAAATTATATTTTAGTTACATTTATATGTATATTTATTACAATAAATATATTTTTCTATTTAATAACTAAACAACTGATGGCACTTACACCAAAAATATAATGTTTGCAAAATATTCTACTTGAGAATTTTAAAATAAAAAAACAAATACTAAGTAAAAATAAATGTATGTAAAAATATCGTAGTGATAACATTACATTATTGAGATTAATAAGAGTACAATAATTTTTATTTGAAATACTTTATGTTGACACTGTGTATACTACACAATATATCAACACATTGAGTAATAATGCTATAACTGTAACAATTTCATTACTGCCATAGCAGTAATAGAAAAGTGTATTTTTTTGCTGGTTTTGAATATTTAAAAGAAATACCAAATATTCATCAATGTATTAAATAATAACTTTAAAAAATATATATACTCGTACAAAGGCACCGACTTTTAGATATTATCACGGAGGCAAAAGCGGGACAAATAGCGTCCCTCGGATACGCAACGCGGGACGCATTATTTGAGCCCTGGAAACGGGACGTCCTACCTCATGCAGGACAGTTGGCAACCCTAGTTATCATCCCGTCGGAAACGTGCTGATGAGACGCTGTTACAGTATTTAAACAAAATACGGAAAATAGCGACACATGGTAATATTGAAGACGAGTCGATCATCGACTATGTAATCTGTGGTATCCCAGATACTACAGCAGACAAAAACATTTTATACGGCGCGTTAACATTGGACGAGTTCAAAAGGAAAATTGGTTTGTACGAACGGATTAAGAGCCGATCTCAAGCGATTGATGCTGTTTCTAGAGTGTCCGCCAATGGTAAATCAAAGTTGATGACCTCAGAGGGAGGCACAGCGCTGGATGAAGTAACAAGATGTTTCAATTGTGGTGATCGTGGACATCAGTCTAGAGAGTGTCTCCATGAAGCACCGAATGTGTATCAGGTCAATTACACCAATAACGACGACCGAATAGTGAAACCAGTGGTGATTACTGGCTGCAATGTATTAGCTCTCATTGATGCGATATCAACATTTGTCGGCGTTCATTTGAGTCAAAGTTAATTAACGTCACCAGTGAGATATGCCGAATACGTATAATAGGGCCAGCAGGTGCAAACTTCTTTACAGAACAGAAATTCTATGCCAAGCTGCGTATTGATAACCAAACATACTCGATTACTGTGTATATGGTGAGCGACGACAGTATAGGACATGGTGTGGTCATTGGTCGAACATTATTCCAAACCTGTGCCGAGCTTAGAGTGGATTCGAAAGCTGTAGAAGTTGCTGATGTTCGTGAAGTTCAGCAGATGACGGCTATTGACGTTGGAGTTGGATGTAGGTGTAAGAGAGTACTTGCCAATAATCCAAAAAATAGTCAGTAACTATGTACCGGGAAGTCGTGTAACAGTACCAATGAAAACAGTTATTTTTTTGAGCGACGAAGTGCCTGTGTATCAGCGGGCAAGACGCTTGGCGCCGCGTGAAAAAGCTGCCGTTGATCAACAGTTTGAAGAATGGCTACGCGAAGGCATTATTCAGCACAGTTGTTCAAACTATGCCAGTCCAGTGGTCCTCGTAATCAAGAAAAAAGGGACATTGCGGTTGTGCATAGACTATCGGACTCTTAACAAGAAAATTGTACGTGATCGCTGTCCGCTACCGCTCATTGACGAACAAATTGATCAGCTGCGTGATGCCGTCATATTTTCCACGTTAGATTTGCCTGATAGTTTTTTTTCGTGTACCAATGGATAATTGTAGTATAAAATATACTTCGTTTGTGACGCCTAGTGGCTAATATGAGTTCTTGAACATGCCTTTTGGGCTTTGTATATCACCGCCAGTTTTCCAACGGTATGTCAATTTTGTATTTCGTCACATAATCGAAGTCTGTTAGCATATATGGATGTTTTTTCCAAAAACGCTAAATTTGTAAGAAGTATGAAAATAATGTCCTTAAAAGTAATGAATATACTAAAATTGCATTAAAGAAATAAATATGACAAAAATGTAAAATTAAAATTGAACTATATGAATCTACATTACTTGAAACATATTTTTTCCAAACTGAGCATTGCGAAAGGATTTAGAAAAAAAAAATTGTATTTTGCATTGAAATCTGTGCCCTAGTAATAACTAACAATAATAAAATAATTGAAGAGGTATTATACTGAAGAATAATCAAAAAACATAGGAAATACTATGAATCACAAGTTAAAAATAGTAATACAAGTAAACCTTCGTATAAACATCGCAACTGCAGATTACTCAAAATATAAAAATAACAAAAGTATAAAAAAACTACAAAAAAAAGTATAAAAATGTAATGTAATACTAATGTGTTTAATTTTTGTTTTAATAACAAAATAAAAAAAATACCCACTTATATTATATAATAATTAATTATTCATTTCTAAGTGAGTTCATGATAATATTGAATACTTCAGAATATTAATAACATATTTTGACAATTAAAACAAAAAAAGTATCATACTATTTTAACTTTTCAAAATTAATTATTTTCATTTTATTAATAAAATATAATTTTTAAACATATATTTAATACACATTAATAATATTATATATGAGTAACTTGTATATTAAATGTTGAAAGTATCCAGATGTTTAAATTTTTTTTATTTTGTTATCAAAACAAAAATGAAATACATTACTAACAGCAACAACTAGTACAACAAACAACTTGCAACAAAATAAAATTAATGATTATATCAAAATTAACTTAAATTAAGTTGTGTGAAACTTATTTTTATGAATACGTAAGTTCCTCATGCTTATGAAATATTGTTCACATACATCACATTTATGTTTCTTAATGATAGGTCCTAGTTTATGACTACTGCTAATGTGTTCTTTAAGATTTGACTTTCTCTTAAATACTTTCTTGCAGTGAGTGCAACTAAAAATTATGCCCTGGTGTATTTTTTTATGCTTAATAAACAAATCTTTGTTTTTAAAACTAGAACCGCAATGATCACAAACTAAAGATTCTGATACATGGGTGGATTTATGGTACCTGTAAAAATAAATCAATAAATTACAATAATATTTTTGTATCATAATTATTCAAACAATGTATACAAATCATACTTAAAACTTGATGGGTGGACAGTAGAGAATTCACATTGGTCGCAATGATACAACAACATTTTTTCATGGATGAGACGGTCATGTCTACGCAAGGATGATAAGGTCGAAAAACTTTTTTTACACTCCTTGCAACAATGGTTTTTAGCTAATGAATGACTGTTTTCGTGAATCTTTAAATTGTACATATTTTGAGCTTTGTAGCCACATTTCTGACAAGTGTATGAACCAATATGAACATTCAAATGAATATCAAGAGTCTTTTTTAAAGTGAACTTTTTTTGACACAAGTGACATTCAAACAATTTCTCTCTATGGACTATCTTGTGTATCTCCAGACGATCTTTGGTTAAAAACATCTTTCCACAATTTTTGCAGCTAAAGGTTTTTGGCAGGTCAACATGTACTGTTGAATCATGTGATATCAGATCATTAAATTTTGTAAAAATTTCTGAACATACATTGCAACAATATTTTTTACGGTAATATAGATTATATTTTTTCATTGATTTTGATAATTCTTTATTTGAAGTAGGTTTGTCATTCTTTTTTTGCATGGTCTTCATAGAAATAGCCTTAGGATTCCACCAAAATTTCTTTGTGGAATTACAAGTTTTATTATGCAATACATTTGATGATGTAACCAAACATTCTTTCCCAGACAGTGTCTCTGTAATTAAATCTTCAGATGATTGTACTTTTTTCGTGGATCTTTGAACAGGCAATTCTGTACTTGTAGTTTCAATTTCATTCCATTGTTGTGACATATTATTCCATAAGGAATCACAATCAAAAAAACCAATGCTTAAATCCGACATATGAGAAGGTGTAAAACCTAGTGTTCCCAAATTTGTTATTTCAGAATTTAACTAAAAAATAAAAAATAAAAATATGTGTTTTAATAACAACTATAATTTTGTACTAAATATAAATAATATTACCACCAATTCATTTTTTTCTTGAATATATTGTTGGAGGAATGCATTTGTATTATCGCACAACACTTTGAATTTACTCCAAGAATCTAAACTCAACATGCAACTGGGACATATACTGGTTGGTTCATCAATGCCCAAATATACCTGGATATGACAAAATAAATTCTAACATTATTCAAAGAAAAAATAAAAATAAATATAAGTATAAGTAACAACTATGTTTAAATAACCTCTAATAATATTTTGATCACAGACTATGGAAAGTATAATTTATGGTTTGATAAAATAAATTAAATAGGTGCCCATGTAATACAACATATATATGTACATTAGACATCTCAAATATTCAATTATATCTAGTAATTTTTTGACATTTTCTGGATATCTATTAGATATTCATAGAAAATAACTGGTAGATTAACCACAATGAATATTAATGGATATCCATTAGACATCGATATTTTATAATCAATAGACTTCATATTATGTATTTTAATGTACATCTATTAGGTATTTAGATAAATTTCAAAACATACTTGCCATACATTTAACATTTAAACATAATAATATGGGTAGTATCCATGAATATTTTTATTTTTAATTATGGAAACTATTGTAGCAGATCACCACAATACAATTTTACTTCATAAAATCATATTCATTTTAATATTTTAATTGTATAGGTATCGATCTTATAATACTTAAGAATTACAGTTAATTAGAATAAAATGTTTATGTTGATTAAAAATACATTAATAATTTATTACTTGTTACATCTTAAAATGTAATTCTTATAATAACACATAGCATAGCATTTTAGTTACAAGACAAAATTCACTTTTTTTTTTTATTAATTCGTCCAAAACCTATTACCATTAATATTAAATATCGAAAATGTTGTAATTTCAAGGAAAATATAAATATCTAAATAGTCAGCAATAGCTGTAACAAACATTCAAATATACTGATGGTTGAATTCACTGAATTTATATAAAAGCATATAAGCTAACCTATAAACGTATATCCGCATAAAAAATATTATATATTACAACCTAAATGCGTGACCCGTGAAACCAAGTTATTGATTTTGAAATAAAGATTTGATTTGAATAAACAGTTTTTTCAATTTTTATTCCAATAATAATACAATAATTTAATAAATATATTAATTTAAATTAATATCTTATGGATATCCATCACAAATTACAATTATTGGACGAATGGTGGTGAATTATATCTAAAAGATAATATAATTAAATCATCTCTGCAGAGCTTGCGCTAATGTGCAGTTCTAAATTGAAATATGCAGTTCATAAAAAAAAAATATGATTTGAATTTTTAATAATTAATTCTATATGTCTATGAGTTTGTAACTTAGGTACCATTTGACATTATTTTGTTTTCTGGAATTACTAGAAATTATGATTAAAACATTAATAATAAATATTTATCAATGAATATCAAGAGATTAAAACTACGGTATTAGTTATTTATTAAAGTCTCCATTACATTCCACCATGAATGTTTTAACTGAAAATAAGTACTTATACATTAATTATAACATGTCTCCCTTGTATGATTGAGATCCTAATATGTCAATTGTTAAATGGATGAACAGCAAAAAAAAAGAGTAATTACAAGAACAAAAGCTAAGCAACAAAATGATTTAAATGGTGTGTTTCCATATGCTACAAACATCACCAATTTGAATATATATAGTGATACTGATGATGAAGAGTTGTCACAAAAAATAAAAATAAATCATTTTAAAATTAGATTAAAGGATTTTGTTATTTTAATTATTAAAATCTATATACATTATGACGTATAATATAATATTATTTAATATTGATGTTAGTACGTATTATTTATTATATGCGAGCAAAACGAACTTCAAATATTTTTCATTTTTGTAAAACAAACAGGATGTGCAGCTCTAATGTTTCCTTAGCACAAGCTCTGCATTTCTGATATCAAATGGATATCCAAGTGGATAAAAAAAAAAGGCCAGGTTAGAGTATACAACAGATATATAATATAGATATACAGTCATATCTAATAAATGTTATGAATATCTATTAATCATATATATTAAACATACATTAGTTGTACCTATGTTTCGTGGGTGGATAGTTTTATGAAGTTAAATCCTCGAATTTTAGAAAATCAAGTCGTCATTAACCTTAACTACATCACAGAATTCTGAGGATGACCATAAAAATTAAACAAAACACGGTGACTTACTTCAATTTGTACACATTTTTTGATGATCTCTTCAAGTCCGAATATCGATATCATTTTATTACGACCATCGTCTTCCCGGAGACATAGCCGACAAACTTTTTCGAAATCCCCGATTATGGGAGCCATTTTCAAATATTTTAACTTAGGTCTTCAATGTCAATTTTGGTCTAAAAGAAATTCAATTGATGCATCATATGGAACGCATTACGAGATAACTATTAAATGTTTGACAGTTTTTTTTATAAAAATAATAATGACTGGGGTGAAAAGTAATAACTGAGAATATTCATCAATTGTTGTGAAAATTATTTATTAAATTTATAAAAGCTTAAATTATAATGAGTTTTAACATTGATAACAGAAATTAAAACGGTTTTACTATATAAATGATTGGTAAATAAATTTAAATGTAATAAAATTCAACAGACTGATATCAGTTTCCGTAGTGTAGTGGTTATCACGTGTGCTTCACACGCACAAGGTCCCCGGTTCGATCCCGGGCGGAAACATATTTTTTTTCCATTCCATTATATATCAATATTAAATCATATTTTTATTTTTCTGATTTTAAATGAAATGAAGAATGTATTGTGTACTATTTAATACATAAATAATTTTATTATTTACCAATTAATATGTAAATATATGTTATTATTTTCATAGAAAAAAAAATGTATCATATTGTATTAGATATATTTATATATGTATCTACATGATTAAGCATTTTTTATTTATATGTTTAAATATTTTGACTTAAATAGTTTTTATTTACAAGTATGGTGTAAAAAAAAATATGTATGAAGTATGCCTTTTGTTTTTTAAAAATTGCAAATATATTACCAAAGTTTTAATAAAGGATCTTTGTGAGCATCAGACGGCAATGATATGGTATGTTTTTCTTCTCAGGAATCTCAATTTTTTCAATTTTTTGATGATCATTTCATTCTTAAACTACCATCTTAATGAACTTTACTCACGGCTTTGAATCATTCAAGATTCTTTGGAGGTTTACTGGTTTTTTTGAAAACATGTCATTATTAGTATTATCAATCATAAATTTGAATATAGTTTATCATTAATTTTAATAATTTGCATCATATCTACAGTTCTCCCGATTTTGATAACAGCGAGATATCAACGAATGGATTTTCGCAGGAAAAAATCTTTTGTGTCCGTATCATTGAACTATATGATAACTATAACTATATATGTTATCATATAGTTCAATGCGTACCCGTCGACAATGGACACGGATGCGCTACGCACCGCTGCTGCGCATCACGAGAAAACGATAACACTAAAGACTAAGACGGAAACGGAATGAAAATTCTTTATTTTTTCGCAGCAGCAGCAGCAGCAGCAGCAGCACGAACATTTTCATTGATAAACGATAGAGAAACGATCGATTCGATTCGGCCCTGTTCGATAAACTTTTTACGAACCCAGGTAAGGGTAATGATGTCCGAGCCGTAATACGGGTACAATACTCGGTAAAATAATTATAAAAAATTGTATGTTCGTGCAGCTGTTGAAACGAGCTTTATCGTCAAAAATAACGATTAATAGTTTGGTTTTCACGCGCGTACAGAATCGCCGATTGCCGTCTCGATGGCTGACGACCGTGACACTGCTCAGGTTGCGAACACAACGTCGACAAACTTATCCGCGTATTCGGACGGGTACGTTATAGCTTATCATTCCCTGTTCATTGTTTTTATTACCGTATGCAAATTAACATTTTGACGACGAGATGCATATCTCGCGGCGCGGTACGAGGGTGAGGCCGACTAATGCGGTGGCGACGTGGCCCATCGGTTCAATCACGATGATCCCTTCCACCCTTCACGCGGTATACATTTGCGTACTGCAGCCCAGGGCGGCAATTTTAAACGGTATCTAAAACGCATTGAACAAAAAAAAACCATTTGACGAATGCATTTTTAGAAAACGCATTCTGACTACGAGTTAGGCGGTCAACAGTTTTAACCGGTGAAATTTCCCGGTGGGCCGGTGATTAATGTGGCCAGTGGTCATTGTTGCCTTCAAAATTAAATGAAAAATAATCAATAACCAATGTAAAATTATGAAATATTTTCGGTTTAATTACATCCTATCTGGTGAATTGTGTGTACAAACATAAATGAAAATACAAAATAATAAAATAAAAATAGTTGTCGGTCTTTCGATGGTTAGTTGTCGGAATTGTGATCGTTATCTTACCGATGTCCTGTAGAACTTAATATTTTCCGTTAAAATTTTGACGTCTGTGCACTACTTATGAAATTTAAATATCCAATGTGACTGTCCGTGATCGCATGTTTATTCGATTTGTGCTTAGTTGAACGTTTTTTAACTTTAAAAGTTCTGTTGTGTATTTTTAAGTATCTATTAATAATGGAAAATATAAAAAGAAAACATAAAGGAAATGCTGAAAAATTAAGATAAAAAAAAAATAAATTGGTTAGCGTTGATGCATCTAAATGCAAGTCTTTAGATTTTATGTTTCAAAATCAATCTAAAAATAAAGACGTTGACAAGAATATTGAATCGAATTCTAATAACGTAACTTAGAGTACCTACTCTAAAATCTAATAGTCAATAAAAATATAAAAAAAAATAACGCATTAATTAATATATTTGATCGGTACGATTGTGATTCAAATTTATGTGTATATCTTATAATGGCTTAAGAAAACATTTCTTCTGGTTTGGAATTTAATTCATTGACGTGATTTACAGCAGGATCACTGCTCGACAAATTTTTGACATAGTTGATCCTGATGTACGTAACGCTTAGTCGAATTATTATCGTCTTCTTTTTATTTATTTTTATTTTTTTATTTTAACAACACTAATTTATGGTTGTATTTTCAGCGTTTTGCTATCACAGTATATTACGGAATATTAAATTTAACCGAATACACCGCCCCGCTAGATCTTTGATGAGCAAATCAGATTAGCAACGTTTAGCAACATAATTCATGGATCTTTCATATACATTTAATGAGTTGGGGTGGGTTGTAATTAATGTTTATTAAAAGATATATTCTACTAAAAGCGCATTAATAAATCGAAATAATATATAATAATTAGTGATTCAGTTTTAACCGCAAAGTATTAAAATCAAAATGTTTTTATACATAGTTGAACTGAACGTAAATTAGAATATTTATGTAACATAAACAATCTAAAACTTATAATTGTTATGAAAAAAAAATTACAAAACTATAAAACTAGTTAAGTTAAGAGCAATTTAAGTAAGAATCGTAAACTCTCGACACGTTTTTAAATTGCCAAATAGTTATTATTAGGGCTCGAAATTTATTCCACTAAAAAAGATTAAGAGGTAATGGATTTGGTAATCGTGACAATACACTGATGTAATAACGAAAGAGAAAAAACTGTCTAAAAATGAAAAAATGTACTAGAAACGACATGAATTCACAAACGAATAACTAAATTATACAGTTAGTATACCAGAAAGACCTGACGATCCGAAGCGTGCAACACCTTCCCCTACTACGTTGCGTACACGAAGGCTGCGGCACGTGGTGACTGTACAATGGTTCATGTTACCATGTGAAAAAGATGTACAAGTTCAACTCAATAATGATGAAATTTTTAACAATTTAGCTATAACTAGTGAACATTAAAAAAAAAAAAAAAAACTTTTGCTTTAGTTTTAAGATGCTTATAATTATTATTATTATAATTAAGTTGTTTACGTAGAAAAGCGTTCTTTTTAAAATAGGTACCTTTTTGTATATAGAATATATATGTATAAATATAAGGCCATCCTAATTCTAAATCCCGTTAAAACTTTTAGTCCCAGTCCGCCTCTGGTTCTAACCACCCTGCCGGTAAAAGTAAACACGTTTTCTTATTTAACACGTTCAACGCTGGCCGTGATTTCGAAGGTTACATCGTGACGCCGCACAGTGAGGCAATTGACACCGAAAGCTGGCAAAAATAGCATTTATCAAATTTTACTTATCTTATCGAATTATTATATCTATCAATAAAAGAGTTCATACTGCATTGTTTACTGGTTTTGTGCACGTGTTTTGGCTTAAATTGATTTAATTACAGCAGTCGTTGTATAAGTTCACCGTGTGTTACAGTATATATTTGTATAGGTCGTCACATTCAGAATCTATTTACACGAAATGGGGCAAATATGGGCAACATTTTTTTTTAACAAGATGATATAATACTCTATTAAGTATTATATTTTGTAATTTTTAAAGCTTGGAAATCCTTGGAAGTGAACTTAAACTATATATAATTTTTGTAATACAAATATATTATTATTATTATAGTTAATTATTTATGTAAATATTATATGTAAATTCGGTAAAACGTATGTATTAAACGTTACGTAACTAACCTGTAGCTTGTGGTTCCATAATAAATTGAATTCAATAAATAAATAATATCAGTTATTGAAAAAAACTAAAAACTAGAATAATATTATTCTGTTAGATTTTATACTGTAACACACGGTGGACTTATACTACGACTGCTGTAACTAAATCAATTTAAGCCAAAACACGTGCACAAAACCAGTAAACAATGTAGTATGAACTCTTTTATTGATAGATATTATAATTCGATAAGATAAGTAAAATTTGATAAATGCTATTTTTGCCAGCTTTCGATGTCAATTGCCCCACTGTGCGCCGCATCGAGAACGCTGGGAAGGGTTTACGCCTACGATGGCATTATAAGCATAACTTTTTATAAAATTTTATAAAATTTTGTTAATATTTTTACAGTTTTTTAGATCCTTGGAATAGCCTTTATCTTTATTAAATACTTGTACTGAATACTAATTACTAAATATTAGTACTTACGTATCAAATAATCGTTAAACCAAAACAAAATAACTCGCCGTTATTATTATTATTGTTGTCCGCCTTGTTGTTGACCGCGTTCGTACGCGCACGCGTCCGGTGACGAGGCTCCATTGGATTTCGACCGCGCGTCACTGCTTCGCTTGGTTTGAAACGCGACCATGATCGCAAGTCGCGCGACCCGAGAACCTGAAGCTCGATGAAAACGTCGAAAGTCTGAGCGCGCGGCAGTGCGCCGGTCATGTTCCAGCAATGCCAGAGTTAGACCTAACAGATTCGCCCTGTTATTCTAACCGAAAAGTCTCTGTTTCCTGTTAAGATAAACTTTTGAAATTTAAAACAAAAACATTAACCTCGAGTAGCTTAGGACGCAGTAAGAAAATGAGCCCTTAATATTGTACAGTTTCAAAATGGGAGGATTTCAAAATTTGCGATTTTGTTACTGACTCACTCACTCGCTGATCATCAGAATTATAAGACGCTTCCCGTATAGGTAGAAATTTAGAACACAAAAATAGGTTTTACAGTGTAACCAAAGGGAAAAATCTAAAAATTGAATTCTTTTCAAAATCAATGCCAATGTTTTCGTAAATTTATTTTATTCAAATACAAAATATAATATAACTATCCAAATACAGAATATTTTAATGATATTCATTGGTATACGGACGATAATTTTACGTGGTAACGTCATAAGAAACCATTGTTGAAAAGATGAATGATCTTATGAATTGAATGGAATTGTAAGTTAAGTTTGAAATCATCAGCCGAGCTTATGTGCACCGACATCAATTCCCCATTTGCTTAGCTTATGCCATTACCATCCATAATGTGGATTCAGAGGGGAAACATTTAAGAAAATTTCGTATAAAATCGTAAATAGCTCGTAAAAACCTATAAGTACATATGGACTATATCCCTACTACACATGGAAATTAAACGTTGTGCATAATATAAAATATATAATTTTGTATTATTAAAACCGTACGTAACAACGTAACAAGTTTTACGGCTTAAATAAAATTAAAAATAAATTTAGGAATTATGTAACTAAGAGATGAGATGACAACGGTGTTTATATTACAAATATAATAAAGTTATTGATTGTTACATCAGTGTTTTGTATTGCATTGGTATGAACATTATATCCGTCTAAAACAGAATATTAATTTTTCATTAGTTTTTCACGGTTCTGATTATTTTGATTGATCTATCTACATAGATAATCATAAACTATCGATGTATCCATCAAAGGGAGAACAGCTTGGTAAGTATTCAAAATTATTTGATAGTAGATATCTTGTCGTTGACCCTTTTTACCATAGAGTAATATTACTCTATGCTTTCTACCTGTTCAAATTATGGTTAGCCGTTTTTCATCAATAGTAACAAGTAAGATTAAACAATACGTAACTTCTTGTCAAACACACTATTACGCGATCGTATCGCTACCGAGCGTAACGGTAATTCGCACAAACGTTCTTCGTGTTTGAATGGCATTTTTCGTTCTGCCTTTTATGACCGATCGCTCGAAAATGACCGTATACGGTTAGAAAAATACTGTTTACCTTTATGTTGCGCATCGCTCATCAAGTATTATGTTAAAAGATATGAAGAATGAGGTGCGGTCTTTTAAAAGACCCATCAACGAAGATTGTTCGGTGGGAGCATCTTTAATGGACGTAGCGACTGGTCGGATGATTCCGATCAACCAGGACTCAGAAGTACGTTTAACTAATATTGGTACTATCTTATTAGTCGTATGGCTGTGTCACAATTGAAATTTTAGTGCTCCCTTAGCACCTGATCCTCTGTGTGATTGACTGGATGGTGGCTATAAGTTGATATTGTCTAATATATAATCTTCTAATTCTATACCTATAAGACTAATAACTGACATTAATATTTATGTCTACAGTTTATCATTGGACGCGCTCTTAACTCTTCGGTCATCATGGAAGAGTTTTTCATATCTCGTCGTCACTGTTCTATCAGATATGAAAATAACTGTTATTTCATATCTGACTTAGTAAGTGAATTAATAAGCTAATTTAATAAAATGTAATAGATATTTTTGTTAGTTATCATTATAAAAGTATATAGTGTCGGTTGCAGCATATTTTACTAAACTATGTAGTGCCGTAGCTATTAGAGGAATGGGCCATGCCCCCTCTACCATAAGCCGTATTATTTATACATATAATTAGTAAAAATAACCATTGTGGTGGTCTTTTTATTTTTTATTTTGCATTATGGGTGTATCTAAATTTTTTATATATATTTTAGTTTACTAACTAAGAAGAGGTACATAAAAAGTTTATTGGTCAAAAGGGGTACAGTGTTAATAAAAGTTTGAGAATTCCTGGTCTCGGATATATGACTTGTATTATACAATGAAAAATATAAAATAATTTTTAATAAATTGTTTAAACATTTATTAATATATTGTATTAATTAGTTTATATTTTAATTTAATTTCATTAACTTCATGATTTTTAATTTTTATATTGTTGAAAATTGTTTTTAGTAAAATAATTAGTTTTATATAAATTAAAAACCTATATTGTATTAGAATTATGCAATTTATGTTTTTGAATTTAATCCTTACAATTATTTCCTTTTTTATATAAATCAAAAAATAGCAGTCATGCTCTGGTACTTTCCTAAACTGTAAAAGTCTTTCAAGTACGAGTAATATTACAGAATTACGACATGGAGATCTTATTGGCTTCGGTCATAAAAGCAAGATTACTAGAACATTCAAATTTACCTTAAACAATATATCAAAAAAAAACAAAAAACCAAGGTAAATAAAATTGATTTAAAATAGTAATGTAATTAAATAAGAAATATTTAAAAGGAACATTTATGTTTAAATAACAGGAAATTAGAAAATTAAAACTATTCTTAATACAATATTAATTTTTTTTTTTTTTTTTTGTATTTAGCGCTAACATTTTTATTTTAGGTCAGAAATATTTTTTTAAACAAGTATAATAATATTATCCTTCTATTTACTACATATGTGTGTACATTCGAACCATTTAATAATAAAGATTTAGTGTTCTGTTAATAGAACACTAAAACTAGAATTAAATTTATTACTACTTTTATTATTTTAATAATTTTAAGTATATTTATTATTTCTATTAACTTAATAAATATATCTGTTTAATATTTAGATTATACAATAAACATGGTATAGAAGTTCATACTGAAGAAGAAATTTTTGAAAAGAACATAAAAGACCTTCATGAAGTATTATTGAATGTAAGTTTAACTTTATTAACTATAATTTTGTTAGAAATAACTAATAATATTTAAAATATCACAATGTTAAAATAATCATTATTATTGTTGTTCGATTATAGTTAAAAGTTGACCATACAGTATTCCGTGATAAAGCTAAAACTGAATTAGTTGAATTGCAAAATATGATAAACGATAGCATGAAAATTAAAAGTATACAAACTAAAAAAGTAAGTAGAAATCAATGTTTTTTTTCAATCGTATTTTTCTTATTCCTCGTCTTATATTTCATCATATATTATGAAAAAAATTTCATGATTATATTTGTGTTTTAATTTGTATACCATTATCTTTAAGAAAAATGATGTAATTCAAAAAATGACCAACGAAATTCCTACACTAAAGGCGAAATTAGAGAGTATGTTGTTTTCTATATTTCTTATGTCTTATACTTCTGATTAAAATGTAATTGATGATTAATTTATTTCAATAAAAATTTTAGATGAATTATATGATGTGGGTGCACCTGAATTATTGAAACAAAAAATCCATTCTCAGTTCGAAAATGAACTTCAATGTTCAATTTGCAGTAAATTATTGTGCAAGGTAAACAATTTTTAATTTTTATTCTTTACTTGATATGATAACTTATTTTATTTTTTCAGGCTACGGTTCTAAATTGCGACCATACCTTTTGTGAAATGTGTATTATGAAAAGGATGCAGAAATTTAAATCATGTCCTGTTTGTAAAGCTAAATTTAAATTCACTTCCAAATGTATAACTTTGGACAATTATATTATCATGAATCAGAATATTACTGGTGGTGCTAAAAGATCTGCTAAAGATGGTATGCACTTTATGATAATATTTCATTTTCCTTGTGTCTGATATCTTATTTTATCTATAGACCATCTAATAAGCATTTCTGACTAATTTACTTATCATTTATTATTTTGTTATATATTTCTTTTACACTCTGTACAATGCTTATGTTTTTTTAAATAATTCAAGTGCTTCCTTCAATACCACCTGCCGTGGAAGTTAAGAAGAGACGACGACGACAATGAACATGGTACAATATATGGTCAAATAGGCTACTTACATTTAACACATGCTTACCTTACAAGAAAAGAACCAACTCCAGTATGTGAAACTTGCAATGATGTTAAATTGCACCAAATATACGGAAGCCCACAAGATCCTCAAAAACCCCATCACACTTCATCAAGCGTTCAATAAAGACAATACGGATATAAACAATTCATTTTTCAATTGTATAAACATAAGTCATAAATTGCGAACTATTCTATACATGTGAATATTTATAAAAGATATAATAAATATATATATATTATACTTGTCTATTTTAATTTAATGCAAGTTAAAAAACTTTGTTGTTGAAGCCTTAATAAATATATACACATATATATATATAAAATAGCTTGAAGTTTATAGTGTATGGTGGAGATATTTGCATTTTTACTATCATTTACTTTTCATTATTGAAAAACTAATTACATTTATCTATTATAATATAAAAATGAATCGCAAAATGTGTTGGTAAGCGCATAACTCAACAACGCCTGGACCAATTTGGCCAAATTTTTTTTTCAAATGTTCGTTGAAGTTCAAGGATGGTTTTTACGGCGAGAAAAATTAGAATTATTGCTGGAAAAACCCTAAAAATAGCCCTCTTTGACCCGGTCGATAACTGCACAATTGAAAATGAATTATTAAATAAAACTATTAAAAAACTATAAAAAAAACTATTTAAAAACTATTAATTTTATTTTTGGTAGTAAATGACGGTTATTGCATAAATATTAAACAAAAAAAGATCCCGCAACATGTGTCAAAACAAATAAGAATGTTAGTTCGAAAAATTATTATGCATATCGGTTGATGATTAAACGAGATCAAGACAAAATTATTCTACGATATCATGAGCTTCGTCAACAATTCATGGTCGAAATGTATGTAAAGACAGAGAGCGAACGATTTTGATACTTGCGATTTAATCAAAAAAAGCTGCGTGCAGAAAATTCTCAAAACAATTGTTAGATATTGGAGATGGGAAAGTTACTACAGATAAAACGGAATGTATAAAATTACCGACCGATTTCTGCACAATCATTTATTCGCAAAATGCTCTCATTGACTAGATATTTTCCAATGTACACAGACAATACATAAATCATGAGTGGCTGGCAGAAAGGGCGTCAACGAATTGAATCTCAAGATAAACATTTATTACCAGGAGACATGGTGTCATACAAATCTATAGATATAGTTTGCTATGCTACTGAAGCTGTAAATTATCTAACAGAGTTTTTAAACTCATTGGACTTACCAGGCATGCCACCGCATAATTTACAATTGAAGGTTTGTTCTTCGGTTATTTTGCTTCATAATTTGACCTACCACGGTTGTACAACGACACGCGATAAGTTGTTAAAAAATTAATGAAAAATGTTATCGAAGCCATAATTTTAAATGGCAAATTCCGAGGTGAAAATATATTATAACCGCGAATCTCTATTATACCCACAGATGTGCCAATACAATTTAAACGCTTTAAATTTCCAATTAGATTGGCATTTGCAATGACTATCAATAAGTTTCAAAGCCAAACAATGTCTGTAGCTTAGATTTGAGCACATCATATTTTTCACACGGATAATTATACGTGGTGTGCTCTCGAGCCATCCAGTTTGTGTTTGCGAAAGATGGGATACAAAAAATATTGTACACTCTGTTGCATTAAGGGATAGATATTGTTTTTTACTTATATTGTCATAATTAGCGATATATATTATTTTAATGGATCAATTTTAATAAATTATTAAAAAAATAAATGTTTGATGTTTTTTCATTTTTATATTTCGTTACCATTCATAGCACGCCATATATCTTCCTTACATCCTTATCCTTACCCACATTCTTACATGCCTATATTTAATTAGTTATTTTTTTCTAGCAAAATATTCTCTAGAAATAATTTATATGACAAAACAACGTTTGTCGGGTCAGCTAGTATAATATAAATTGATTAAGAATGTTCATTGGTTATGATTACAAATAAATGATTTATTTGTTAACTTAATTATTTAACTTTATTTTTATTATTATACTCGGTCAACAAAATACAATTATTTATACCATATTTTAATATATTACATTAAAAGTTATAAGTCAATTATATGTAAATATTTGCCCACTTTTTGTTGAATATTGTTTTGACATTTTCTATATAATATAACCTATATTAACCGTGATAATTTTTCTGAAAATTTGTATGTACCAAAAGTAATCATAGCCATATATTGTACGTACAATTTGATAAATGGAAAATTTTAATTTCAATGATGTCATGAACTCATGAAAAATTATAAGGAAAATAAGAAAAATTATTTTAAACAGCTAAAAAAAAAAAGACTGATTACTTCAAATATCAAGCCTTGATACTTTTATAAAATGACAATTATAGTAGGTATGAATTTATATAAGTTTAATAAAATGTTATATTATATAAAAAAATTATTAAAATTTGTTAAATAAAAAGTCTTGATTAATCAACATTTTCAATTATTCATCGCATGTTTATATTTGTATAAACTGATTAGGCACCACGTCACCTCTAATCTACTTTACCATATGGCTAATGCCAGAATATCCAGTTTATGTATAAGAAACAGTAGTTAATCCTTGATGACCAACTGAAGTAGTCAAATTCTGTATTGTCTTATATAGACGTCCATAGCCAGTAAGTTATATTTATGTGTTAACCTTTAAAATAATTATTTGAACCTATCTATATTTATTTATATTAAGATCCTTTTTCTTTTTATACTCCCAAGCTATGGTAGAATATGTATTCAATGATAGTAGAAAAACTTCCCTGAATATTCAATATTTTTAACTGGTCACCCCCGACCATGCAACATTTTTATTTGATGACAGCCCATCTTGTATAGGATACAACACATTTCTATATAATATATATTCTATATAACGCTACGCGAGTAAAACCCTGAATCGTCATTAATATATTATAATATTTCCATCATAATCAAACATTATATATCATTATTTTATTATTTGAAATGTATTTTTGTTTTGGTTGAAAAGTGAATCGGCCGAAAAGGGAAGGGTACGATTTTGGTCAAAAACGGACTCGTCCAAGATACCGAGTTCCGTTGGCAGACATATACAAAGGTGGACTGACCAGATTATATGGACAGTGAGAATAGTCCTACTGGGCCGCAGATTTTCTAAGGCCGACCCATGTAAATGCCCTACAATAATATGAGGGTTGGTTTGTTCACCAGGTAACATAAATTACTCAAATAAATGAATACAATGATATTAATCTAATCAATATAAATGTATAAAAAAATAATATTATAAATGCTGAACTGATATATAATAGTATAATAAAATGCCTACGGCGGCTGCTCTATGAATTATAATAATAATAATTAGGGTCGTAAATTTGTAGGAAAGTGCTTTTTTTTTTTTTTTTGGTGATTGGTTAGGTAAGTATATAGTTTGAATTATGTAAATACGAATCTATTTATGCAAATTTTATTTTGCATTTTTTGACTTTTTAGATGACTTTTGTGAATTTTTTTGTCATATTTTACTTTTTTATTTCATTTTCTGGTATTTTTAATAAAATTCTAAAGACTAAAGATGAATAAGGCACCCGAAAATAAATATATTTAAGTTTATTTCATTATTTCAACAAAACAAATACTTACAAAAATTATAAAAAATGTTTTAAGTGAATAGCGTTTAGTACATGTAGAAAATTCAAATTTTATCAACATTTTTATTATTTTTTATTAAATAAACATTTATGCATAGGTAATGTATAATAATGTATAATATCCTGTACCTAATATTAATATAAATATAAAAAGCATTTTAAATGAATTTTATACTATAATTTTTGGCATTTAATATTGCATATTTTAGGTTCTTTAGTGCATTAAATCCAAAGCTCTAATAATAATATGCCTACGGCGTTTGCTCTATGAATAATAATAATAATAATTATGTGCCTACGGCGGTTAGGCCCGTCGGCCTCTGCACGACAATGAAACAAATATGGTCGACCAGTCCTCAAGCGGGACTGTGTACGATGGCGGATTTCATACGACTGACTGCAAAGGGGATGTGAGCAGTACAACAACTAATACGAAAATTATCGCAGCCCCCGAGTGCATGCGACCCCGCTGAACAACAGTGCCGAAAGAATAGAGACGGGTCTACGACGGATGACGATGACACACGAATGAAAACCACGTCGTTGACAACGGCCGTTGCCAAGTGACTGCCCTGGTGGCTTTAGGAGTGAAAGCAACGGGATCGCTGGGAACGACACTTAGCGGACGGCCGACGAGGATGACACGAAAACCGAAAACTTGGTTTCAACGAGATGGCCGCCGATCCACGAAAACGGACGTGTTGACGCGAAGGCGGACAAGACGATAAGAACGACGGGGCCGAGGGCATTCATCACGAGAGCTACGACCGTGTCCGACGGTAAAACGTCTCAGCGCCATCACGCCGAAAGCGTAACGCGAGAACTTCGCGACAATTAGTGGCACCGAGGAGCACGACTTGCGAATCCGGCGAAACGTAAAAACTGGAAAACACGGAACAACGGAACACGTCTACGCGCGATAACGACAACGCGGTCACGTACCCGCATTGAACTATATGATAACTGGAATGCTCACTGGCCATACGAACAATGTAAATAAAACCGAGCGACCGTGATAAACAAAGATAACAAATATATTAGGTAATGTTTTCTCTCTCTTTGTATATTATTCTATTCGACAATTGAATGTAAATCAAAAATCTTATTAATTTAATCGGTTTTAATTTAATATTGTATTTTATAATTTGTTTAATACCTAATCAATTTATATTTACGTACCTTAGGTTTCATATAATAAAATGGTTAGCTATTGTAGTGCCTATAATTGCGCAAATTCAAGCGATATTAATAAAGGATTAAATTTTCCATAAGTTCGTTCTTAAATTATTTTAGAATATAATACCTATTTATTATTTGCTATTAAGTTTTTTCGTTGATTTTACTTAAAACTTCAATTCTTAGTTTTTTTTAATTAAAATACCTAATTATATATTAATACTAATACATTATTATATATTATACAAAGTAAATTATTTTAAAATTACCATTTTGTATTAATTTAAATATTAATATAAATGTACGTGTGCACCTATGCAGACTGCTTTTATATTGAATAATAATCCG